TAGTCCGCAATATATCACAACTAAAAATGTAATAAATTTTTTTTTTAACCCAATGGTGTTGCCACCATATAAACAATTTTTATTCTTTTTGGTCTCTTTCCAAAAATTAAATTTATTTGTTAATAGATTTTTGGGCCAATCAGATAGGCAGAAAATTGGCAACGTTGCCAAACAAACATAAGGAAACATGCCTAGAAACGAAACAATTTTGTTGATTTATTGAATTAAATAGGGATAAAGAATAATAACGATTTACCTATATTAAACATGCGACTATTTACTAAATGGAAGGTCCCCACAAAAATCAACGCAATAGGGCGCGTTTTTGAGACAATCAAAAAGAAACTTGCTGTTAAATCTAATAAAAATCCGAAGCAATGTATCACAATGTAATCGATTTGATTTAGAGAAAGAATAAACCTAAAAAAATATTATCATAATATCATAATAAGTATAAATTTCTTAACGAATTTACTTTAGTGGGTCAAAAACCCAATGCAATCCTAAATCTTTCATTGAATATCCTTCAAACCACTCCATATCGGTTTTCTTTAACCCGGCGTAAAAATAAAGAAGAAAAATTTGGAATTTTAATAAGAAATAATTCCAATACGGAATTTGTTTGTTGTTTATATCCGGATTTAAAAGCGCGTCGATGGACCAAAAATAATTAGCAGAATTTGCAGTTAAAATTAACCCAATTAATCCGTATAAATAACTGTGATTATTCCAATGTGATTTATCTAATAAAAAAATGTACCAATATGGAATAATGAACATTAAACAGCTCCACTTGTATTTAAACCCCAACATTATTCCCAAAGATCCTAAAACACCCAATATTCCAAAACGAAAACTTGTTATTAAACATTTATATACCCAACCACATAATTCCATAAAGTATACTAATATATTGTAGTGACGTCGGGCGAATAAAAGGAAATAATGGGAAATGACAATTTTTTGGTTCACCCCATATAATATCGATATTTCCACCACTTCTTTCCTCAACTATATCAATCGCCATTAAAAATCCTACAAAATAAAACCAATTAATAAAAAAAAATTAATTTAAAAAAATCTTACCAAAAAGAATCCTTATCACAGCTAAACTAGACGGATCACATGGTTGATACAACTTCTTTATAAACCAATTTATAACATTTAAAAGATATTCGAACATCTTTCAATAATTTTAAACCCGTCACTGAGAAGAAATTTCGCTCACCAACGAATTGAACTTTATCAAGATTTCATTACCTTTGACCCTATTTGATAAGTTCACAGACTATGTAAGCACGTAATTGCCGAAGAAAAATGTTTAAACGGAAAACTAAATATAAAATCGTTCGAAAATAATTTCTATGAATTAAACGATTATCTATAAATTTCTATAATTACCGTTGTGTTAAATTTTTTTTAAATACACAGATGTTTTCTTGGGAGACCAAAAATAGTGCGTGTATTAAAACATTTATGATCGGACTCTATGAGGGAAATGTAATTCGTTGCTAAGAAACGCAGCATCCAACGCAGCTTTTAGGATGGATCAATAAATCTTTAAGTTTATTGAAAAAAAAATGTTTATCGACATTTTATTTTTAAAAATGAAGAAATTTTTATTATTAAATTAAAGTTTAAGAATTTTCTGAGTAATAAAATTTCTTTATGTGATATTCCATAAATAAATTTAAATGCAACTTCACAGTATACAATTAAAGTATTAACTGTTAACTTAAGTTTTATTTAATTAAGTTGGGTGGTCTACACTCAACTTTCTCACAATTAGTTGCGGTGAGGAATATGGCTATCAAATTTAAATCGTATTCTACTTCTTCTTTAACGAAAACTCTACGAACAACCTTATTCTAAACTCTGTAAAATTTAAATAACCTAAATATTACGATATACATACATCTCAACGTGTTCAATAGCTTGAGGTGTCATTTAGAATATCATTTGTCTTTGATGATGGCCCTAGCCGAAACTAGTTAGGTAACAAAAAATGTAATAATAAAGAAAATATAGCTTGAAAAGTGTGCCATCTTATGAAGTCTTATGATCATTTGTTGGTATTTAAAAGAAATTGGTATGCTACATCGATAAAGCATTTATATAAACAATGGTAGGTTATAGCGAAAAAACGTTTTAAATGAGAAGAGTTACACCACCTTTCATATTTTCTTATGGGTCTGAACAACTAGCCCAATTAATAAGTGTATTAAGTCTATACGCTCTTCTAACACTTGATTGTAATTAACTGTGATAACTTAGTCACATCTAAGATGGTTCATGTTGAAGCAATTGTTAGATTCACCTTTTTATGGTTTTCTCGCTTTTTACAGTGAGATTCAACCCTTACGCAGTGTCTGTTCAGAAGGAGATGGGTGATAGAGTCTCCTGGATGATTAAGTGATATAGATATTTTAGATCACTTTTTAGCTTCTGTGCGTCTGAAAACGCAGACTTTCCACAATCTGTAATAGTAAACCATAATTTGTTATTGGAGAAGCTATTATATCAAATTTGAATAGGAGAAGCACACATATTGCGAGTTCATATTTATCTCATCGCCTATAATATGTAAATTATAATGGAAAACAATTAAAGCTGTAGTTTTAAAACCAACTTAGCATATTCGCTGATGGCACGTGTGTATTGAACCTAAGAATCGTGCATTACATCTTGGGTTGGGTTGGTTTAGTACTTGATGTGTTGCCAGACAATATCTTATTATATATGTATTGGTAGTGCCAATACTAGTGCGTAGTGCTTCACGGATGGGGAAGTATGTGTTGTTGTGGTCGATCCGAGATTTCATCCGTTCTTCCTGTTGGTTCCCTTTGGAGAGGGGCAGACGTTTTGCCAAGATTCCTAGGTTTTCCAGTTTTAGTTCGTCCTTTGAATTCCTGAAAGAAGCTTTTAGTTCTTGTTAGGTGTTGGAGATGTCATCTTTTTGTAGAAATCTTTCTATGCTATGACGTCAAATCATGACGGTCAGTCGTTCCTCTAATGTAGTACGTATTTTTGGATGAATGGTGCTTAAGTATTCCTTAAAGTCATGGAGCTTTTCTTTTCCAAAAGGCCAAATGACAAATACCATCATCGTAGCGAATCCATAACTTGGGTTTGTATCTGGCTTAACACTCTATTAACGCTCTCTTAACACTTCTTTCTCTCAGTATATTATGAAGAGGTTGGCGNCTCTTCCAGCGGACGAGTTGCTTGGGAAGTTAAAAACATTCTTGCTAAAGAAGGGATTCTATTCTATACGGGAATTCCTTGAGACCTCCGTAGACCTATGTATTTAGTGCTTGAGATTCATTTTCTCTTTTTTTGTATACTGTAATTTTGTGGTTTGTAGGGTCGTTTTATTATATTCTATTTAATTAATTGATATTTTGTTGTACTACTGATTGACGAGTGTAAGTTTCTTATTAGCACAATAAATAGAAAGAGAATAAAGTCATGGCGGTCAGTTGTTCCGCCATGTAGTACGTATTTTTGGATGAATGGTGTTTAAGTATTCCTAAAAGTCATGGAGCTTTTCTTTTCTAAAAGGCCAAATGACAAATACCATCATCGTAGCGAATCCATAACTTGGGTTTGTATCTGGCTTCTCTTAACTCTTCTTTCTCTCAGTATATTATGAAGAGGTTGGCGATAACTGGGGATAGTGAAGAACTCATTTATGCTCCTTGTACTTGCTTGTAGATCTGGCCGTTGAATAGAGAGTAAGCATTATTGAGGCAGTATTTGGCAAGGTCTATGATATGGCTGGGTAAATCTTCGTTCTCTCTGATCTGTTTGAGGGCCTCTTCGATATTGATACTGGGATAGAGAGACTTGACATCGAAACTCGCCATAATGTCGCTCTCTTCAAGATTAGTCCAAGATTTGCGTAAAATGTTCAGAATTTCGTACGTAGGAATCGGATTGCTGTGTTATGGGTTACATGATCTTGGCTAGATATTTTCATGACTGGGGATAGTGAAGAACTCATAGCTGCTCCTTGTACTTGCTTGTCGATCTAGCCGTTGAATAGAGAGTAATCATTATTGAGGCAGTGTTTGGCAAGGTCTATGATATGGCTGGGTAAATCTTCGTTCTCTCTGATCTGTTTGAGGGCCTCTTCGATTCTGATACTGGGATAGAGAGACTTGACATTGAAGCTTGCCAGAATGTCGCTCTCTTCAAGTTAAACGTTGTCCAAGATTCGTAGGTAGGAGTCGGATTGCTCTGTTATGGGTTGCATGATCTTGGCTAGATATTTTTCAAGTTTTTGTAGCGGTGAGTTGAAGGTGCTGACGATAACCAGAGAGTTTGAGGGGTTAGGGTTTTCTTGATCTCAGGGTCTATTGGAGATGAAGAACGGATGAAATCTCGGATCGACCACATCAACACATACTTCTCCATCCGTGAAGCACTACGCATTATTTATATATATTTCTTACCTTTACTACAAAATAATGGCATAAAACTAAAAACATCAACAATTGTATTTCCNGGCGATAACTGGGGATAGTGAAGAACTCATTTATGCTCCTTGTACTTGCTTGTAGATCTGGCCGTTGAATAGAGAGTAAGCATTATTGAGGCAGTGTTTGGCAAGGTCTATGATGTGGCTGGGTAAATCTTCGTTCTCTCTGATCTGTTTGAGGGCCTCTTCGATATTGATACTGGGATAGAGAGACTTGACATCGAAGCTTGCCAGAATGTCGCTCTCTTCGAGTTAAACATTGTCCAAGATTTGCGCGAAATGCTCTTGGCTAGATATTTTTCAAGTTTTTGTAGCGGTGAGTTGAAAATGCTGACGATGACCATAAAGTTTGAGGAGTTAGGGTTTTCTTGATCTCAGGGTCTATTGGAGATGAAGAACAGATGAAATCTCGGATCGACCACATCAACACATACTTCTCCATCCGTGAAGCACTACGCATTATTTATATATCTTTCTTACCTTTACTACAAAATAATGGCATAAAACTAAAAACATCAACAATTGTATTTCCAAATATGCTCTCCTCTTTAATTTCAAGCATATTTGAAAAATGTACTATGTTCCTTGTAAAACAATCGTATTCATATGGTTTCTTAATCAACGGAATAGGTAAATAGTTCCATACATAATGAGCTAAAAATTCCACTAACTGCAAAAAAAAAGATTTTAGATAATTATAAATGAAATTCATAACTTACTTGTTCCCCCATTGATTCTCTACTATATCTATATTCTTGATTAACATATTTAACGATATTCAAGAACGATGAATGTTTTTTCTTTAACGCTAAAACAACGGAAAGTGTTGTGTAGCAATTTTTTAATTCGCATTTATAATTTCCTTTCAAAATTTCTTCGGTTTCCGAAAGATTTGCGCGAACGTTATGGAAGATATCAATCCTATCCCAGCCACAACATTTTTCTTTCATAAAATCGGCAATGGCGGAATAAATCCCCGCTATTAATACGATCGAGAACGTCACGTGAGTGTATCTTTTGATTTGTTTTATAATAGGTACATATTTAACCGACCCTTCAATGTAAGTGGTTACAAATTGGCGGGGCCACGTTCTCAAAACGATGTTTGGCGACGCTAAAAATTTTATGGGGTTATCAAGAATGTAAGCTTCATCAAGATTTAATTTAGTGTTTTTACACCCACACGAAATACATCGAATCGGAGTATATTTATAATCGAACAAATACTTTTGTAACAAACCGATTAAATGATAACCGTCCACTAAGCAATGATTAACTCTCAACATTATCCCGAAGGATCGATGAGCAACTTTAAAATCCCATGCAATGGGTTGCTTAAAAATCACAATTTCCCATAAATTATCAGAAACTATATTATAACTTTCTAAATAATCCATTAATTTATTTCTGGTGATATACTTGCATCCACTCACGCTCATATCGCGTAATATATCTTTAGAAGTAAAATGTTCGTCCAAATAATATTGATAACCCCAACAAACGCACACTTTACTCGATAATTTTTGGTTCTCAATACACATCCGGTCAATAGTTAATTTAAGAAGCTTATAAAAATCGTGATATCTCCCGTGAATAAAAACAATCATCATCGTAACGATCCCCATTTTTTTATGATCGTAAGCTTCGAAAATCGCGGAATGCCCATCGAGCATCCCGCCGTATAACGATCCATGAGTCGCTTTTAAATGAATGTGAACGAAAAATTTAAACAAAATAAAAGGACTTATACACAATTGATATAAAACTAAACAAATAATGGATAAAGTCACGAAAACGAAGTTAATTAAAATTTTGTAACCCCAACAAGTATCGATTCTTTCCAAAGTAATCGGTGTCCAAATTAAATCCTACGAGATAAATATAATTAATAAAATTAATATAATTAATGAAAATTTACCTTTAGAATTGCGTAAAATAATAGAATTGAAGTGATAATAAATTTCATCATGATTACTTAAATTTATTGATTTAATGAGGCTAAAAATATTGTAATAATGAGTAATGAAATATTAATCAAAATGATTAAAATGACACAAATGAAAGTAAGAAATTGTCAAAAATATGAATTATCCACGTGAATTTATTTTTAATTATTTTTCAGATTAAACATCGGAAAATAATAATCCAACGTAATCTATATCATCTTTTTCCTTTTTGTAGCATTGCAGCTTTCGTCGTTTCTTGATTTCTTTGCACCAAGCTTCAAATGTTTTACAAGGAGGTAAACGCAATCTTTTTCTTAAGACGCTCTCTCTCAAATGAAGATTATGAGTACCGATACCTTTGTAAATTGCAGAGCCATAAACGGGAGAAACCTATAAAAAAATATGGTATGAATAAAACATAGGTACTTTTACCTACTAAATTGAATAAATAAAAAGCTTTTGGGATATATTTGTTTTTATAGTTGTTTTGAATCACATAAAAGTTTAAGCTAACCAAATTTATTTTTGATATGTATACTAACACTGAGTAACAACTAAAACTAGAACTGTCCTTAGTACTAGAACTAACACTAGACCTAGAACGGGTTTAGCCGTACGTCTCTAAACCCGAATGTTTTTAGTTGTAGGTTTAGTGTTAGTTCTATTTTTAGTTCAATAAAAGTGCATAATTAACGTCTTTAGTGGGATTAGAACCATAACAAAGTCTTTACTAAGTAATAATATTAGGAAGAAACAACATAACCTAAAAATGGGGGAAAATGTAAATACAAAAATCAATTTTTTGAGGAAAATATATCAAAATTGGAGCTAATTTAATTAAAACTAGCTCAAAAAGGAAAATCCAACAAGTTGTCGTTAAAGTATCAAAAGATTCAAATTTTCTCAACGGCTTCTTACAAACGCCTACACTCGAGACTTACTTGATCTATTTTTTGATAAAAATGAGTTAATTTAATGCGTTTTAATACTTTTAAAACTTAATTATTAATAAATTAAGTTCAAAAACGCTCAAAATTAAAAAATTAATTTTGGGGTTAAGTAAACGTCAATGAGTAAATTTATGTTGGTGACATTACTTAAAAGTTATGTTGGTAGTTCTGTCAAAATAAACTTTGACGAGGTTAAGACGCTTTTTTTATAATAAATTCATTAAAAATAAATTGTTGAAGCAGTATTAACGACAAAGTTAATAATAAATTGTGTTAAAGTGTATAATTAACGTCTTTAGTGGGATTAGAACCATAACAAAGTCTTTACTAAGTAATAATATTGGGAAGAAACAACATAACCTAAAAATGGGGGAAAATGTGAACACAAAAATCAATTTTTTGAGGAAAATGTATCAAAATTGGAGCTAATTTAATTAAAACTAGCTCAAAAAGGAAAATCCAACAAGTTGTCGTTAAAGTATCAAAAGACTCAAATTTTCTCAACGACTTTTTACAAACGCCTACACTCGAGACTTACTTGATCTATTTTTTGATAAAAATGAGTTAATTTAATGCGTTTTAATACTTTTAAAACTTAATTATTAATAAATTAAGTTCAAAAACGCTCAAAATTAAAAAATTAATTTTGAGGTTAAGTAAACGTCAATGAGTAAATTTATGTTGGTAACATTACTTAAAAGTTATGTTGGTAGTTCTGTCAAAATAAACTTTGACGAGGTTAAATTCATTAAAAATAAATTATTGAAGCAGTAATAACAACAAAGTTAATAATAAATTGTGTTAAAGTGTATAATTAACGTCTTTAGTGGGATTAGAACCATAACAAAGTCTTTAATAAGTAATAATATTTGGAAGAAACAACATAACCTAAAAATGGGGGAAAATGTGAACACAAAAATCAATTTTTTGCGGAAAATGTATCAAAATTGGAGCGAATGTAATTAAAACTATCTCAAAAAGGAAATCCAACGGCATTATTAAATCCAACAAGTTGTCGTTAAAGTATCAGAAGACTCAAATTTTCTCAACGGCTTCTTACAAACGCCTACATATACTCTAGACTTACTTTATCCATTTTTTGATAAAAATGAGTTAATTTAATGTGGTTTAATAGCATTAAAAGTTACCCCAACCCGAATGTTTCTAGGTCTAGTATTAGTTCTAGTTTTACACTAGTATTGTTACTAGAACTAACATTAGACCTGGAACTAGAATCATTCGAGTTTAGCCGTTTTGAGAGACGTGCGGCTAAATCCGAATGTTTCTAGTTCTCGGTCTAGTGTTAGTTCTAGTTTTATACTAGCACTGTTACTATGTAGAACTAACACTATACCTAGAACTAGAATCATTTGGGTTTAGCCACACGTCTGTAAAGATGGCTAAACCCAAATGTTTCTAGTTCTACGTCTAATGTTAGTTCTAGTGACAGTGCAAGTATAAAGCTAGAACTAACACTATACCCAGAACTAGAATCATTCGGGTGAACCTGAGGACCACCTTCACTACCACAACTTCGAACCCATCCAGCTTCTCAACAATAATGGGTTAGTGCTCCAACACTAACTTTAAAAAAAAAAACATAACTTTCTGACCTACTGAAGTGACTAAAAACATGATCACCTTAGTTATCGATTATTTTGATGAAAAATAATATATTAGTGCAAGATGTGGTAAAGCAGAGAACTCTAAGAATAAACAAGAAGGACCTACTCTTTGGGCCTAAAAGAGCTGTATTATTTGACCAAGAAATCTTGGATACAAGCCGAAGGATAATTAATAATGAATAATAATAAAAAAAATTATGAATATCATCATGAATAAAATGAACGTTCTGGTTTTCTTGGATTTAATAAAAAAAATCGCATGTTACTTTTGGTTGTCTTATTGGAAATCACATCGCATGTTGTCTATTGAAACCCAATTCATCAGCCGTTTAAAATTTAATACCGACAACCATCAGGTGGTCTGCGGCGCCATCCATCGCGTGCGTGTCTCTTGCATAAAAAAAACCACAAAGATAACAAAAAGTCTCCGCTATGACAGTAGTAAGAGGTGTAATTGTAACGCGTATTCCTCGAGGTTATACCGAATGAGGTACATATTACGAAACTTACTACATAAATTATATCTAGTTTTGTATTGACTTATAAATTAAAGGAGATGAAGTAACATTTCTTTTCATAAAAGTTTTTTTTTATGGGTTTTGTTTCTCTAATACATTCATATTTCACAGTAAATGAGGTTTGTATTCTGCAAATGACACACACAGAGGGTGATTCATTCACCCTTCCGGCATCGAGAATCGTAACTGGAAGTCGTCAAATGCATCCCTTCTGTCGTTGTTGTCATCGGAGCATGGAAAGAATCAGTACGACGACGACAACAGTAAAAACGACAACAGTCAGTCAAAGTAGGCATTTACGAGATCATCGTGGAAAAGTCGCTAACTATCCCCCGGGCGGATAGAACTATGACAAAAGCTCCCCAGAGTAATCGAAAATCGACCGAACGCCGCACGTATTTAGAGTCGACTTCGTCGAAAGACGTCGCAATGTCGACAGTAAAAACAGCCGGAGTTGTGTTTATCGGCTGTAACAAATCGTCGAGGGCGCACAATGAGAGGAAAGATGAAGTTTTCCCCGAAGTTTTCCATTTGCCGGCCGCCGGAGGGCGAATTTCTGGAAGAAGGGCGAGAAACCGATGCGCGAGATATCTCCTTTCGCATCTCTCCTTTCGTGGATGGGAGGGTGTTCTTTCTTCTTGGTTTTTGCTCCTTTAAAGGTCGCGAATACACGTAGTTCAAACGTTGCGCTGGCGAGAAATAAATGATTCAGGCGCGTTCCTGCGAGCCGGATCGAGTAAATCACCGAGATTTATGGTGAAAACCTCTACTGTTTAATTGAAATGGGCCTCGACTACATCTAACATAAAGCTTTAAGTTATTTATCAAAAATTATTTTCTTTTTTATTTATCTTTTTGCCCAATTATGATTTTCATAAATTATTATCTCTTGAAAGAATACCTCCTTTAAGATTAAATAATGCATACTACTCTGGACGTTTGTATCCAGGTTACGAATCCTATTCCTTAAAGGCTACACGCGCGGCGCCAAGTTTCTTCTTAAAATGTTGATGATGTAAAGGATGGTCCCTAAGGACGAAATAGTCCGAATTAAATGTGTGAATAAATGATGGAAGGTAGTAGTTTCTGTGATGCGAAAATGGAGGGCTTTCGCGTTTTGGACTGCAAGATGGATTTTACCATCGGGACGCAAATTTAATATTTAAATGAAACTCGAAATTTCCGTACGAGAGATTCAGTCGTCCCCGGATACAGATTACCATGATTCCGCGGATGGGTTTTTATTTTTTAAAATGAGCGCTTTAAAAGCCAAATAGTAAAAATATAGTGTAGTAGTCGGTTAATTCTGGATGCTATGTAAACGAATTTACCGGTCGAAGCTCGAGGGGGAAGCGATTACAGTCTCGTTAGATTGGATTTTGAGGCGCGATTGCGTGTTTGTATGGAGGATGGTTTAATAAAACGTTTCGGGGCCTGCAGGTGCTGTCTTTTTCGTGTTTAACGGCATATGTAAATTTTCCATCAAATGGTACTGCGAAATGTGACGTCGGTTTGGGGTAAATTTTATTTGCATACATTTTGTGAATGTTTGAAATTCAGAATTTTTTGTATGTTTAGACTTTGTTTAGAAATCAATAATAATAAAATCAATGAAATACGCCTTAACAAAATTGTAATCAACCTCAATTTTTATTACTTTATGTAGGGAACAATTTTTTTAAAAAATCGCGAAAAATTGAAATTCTTAAGATATCACGGTGAAATATTCGCGATTTATAGAAGAAGATATGTACTTTTTCTTGAACCAAACTGTGAGATAACCGTCTTTGAGATAATAATTTTTGAACTCAACCTAAATTATAACGTTATTAATCTTGCACTATCATCTTTAAAAAATTGTAAAAAATCGATACCTTAAGATATTGTGATGAAATATTCATCATTTATAGAAGAAGATGTGCACTTTTTCATGAACCTAACTGTATTTGAAAATCTCCATTCGTCTTTGAGATAATAATTTTTTAAATCAGCCCGAATTTTTATGATTTGTGAAGTATACAATTTTCTCATTTTTTTTTTTTTAAATCGCGTAAAATTGAAATTCTTAAGATATCGCTGTGAAATATTCGCGATTTATAGAAGAAGATATGTACTTTTTCCTGAACTAAACTGTACTTGAAAATCTTCATCCGTTTTTGAGATAATAATTTTTGAACTCAACCTAAATTATGACGTTATTAATCTTGCACTATCATCTTTAAAAAATTGTAAAAAATCGATACCTTAAAATATTGCGATGAAATATTCATCATTTATAGAAGAAGATGTGCACTTTT